GCTCCAGTTCTACCTCCCAGTTGCTTCTGCAGAGCCCTTGGATCTCTGCAAGGGTGTTTATATTTTGTCTGCATCTCTATCCACCAAGTTTGTCCTACAAAATTCCTCCACCACCTCTATGCTCTCTCCTGGAATGACCATGTTTTCTCAGTGTCCTCTTCTAAGCACCTTGAATGACTACAACTTGTTGTGCTCCATTATACCAAGCTCCAGTCTAGTAGTTTTACCCATGCATAGTGGGGCTGGGATGATACGGGCACTAAGGCTCACGGTTGACAGCCCAGGGATCGCAAGTTCCTGGCCATAGCAAAAGCGCCTAATGAGATTCCAACAAATCTGCAAATTTTGCTAAATACCTTGTCACAAGGACATGAGAAGGAAGGAAGGACCTGTGTATCGGTGGTTGTGAAAATGTGGCATAGCCAAGTAATTTTTTGTTCCTCTATCTTTTTGTTAGGGAAAAAGCAGGTTAGATGGGCAGAGCAGTGCATGCAACAGCATGATTTGATTTAAAGCCCGGTGAAATTGTTGGAAAAGCTCTCCCATTGTAACAAGCAAGCGTTGAATTACACCCCATATGCTTTTACAGTGTCTGGTAATTTGGACCACAACATCACTGAAGCATTCTGCCTAATAGAGGTTACAATGTGATAGGCCCTGTGATTATCCCTCTTGTATAGGGGTGATGGGTCCTAACTAGAAGCATGTTATGTTTGGAGGTTGGAAGCTGAAACAGCTAAGAGCCTTTGAAGATCTCGAATCAACATGTAAGGGAAACAACGATAGATTTAGTTTAGTACTATCAGTGTGTAGGCAAAAGACTGTTAAGGAAGGATTGTAATATTAAGCTAAGTCATAGAGCTCTGATTATTCATTTAAGCATCATAATTAATGCTTTGGAAACTCTATGGCTTCCCTGGGGAGAGAAAATGATATATCACCCTAGGTCAGAAAACCTGAGTCATGTTTCACCATGGTAGCACTTCGTGTACACACTTTTATTTTTATTGCAGTAGCAGAGTTCTTCAGCCTGATCATTGCATATTCTAGCAGACTTCCAACATGCTTGTGGAAGGATGGATAGTAATTCTAATAAGGCCCAGTATCAAATAAATAATTGATCTAGTTAGTAATTGAATGTAATTTAAAATGTAATCAGAATTGTACCATTGTCTTATAGCTTAATATGATGTTATATATTGAAAAATCTACCTTCAAGTTAGTGATGTGAGCCAGCTGCTCCAGGAACAAAAAGTTGCTTCAAAAAGTATATTTTCCCCTGGACTTCAGTCTTGTGCCTTTGCATTCACATACAATGAACTATAATCAAAGAAAAAAAAAAGATTTGTTAATGGCAGATACCAACAAATTAGATATCAAGTCAGGTTTCAGGCAACTAGTTAAAAATTCTGCTTAAACAGATTTTTTTCTCCTGCCATCAGTTAACAAAGTACTTATGTTCCTTTCTGTCATATCTTGAGTGAGGCTCCAGTTCTGCAAACATCCGTGCATGTGAATACAGTAGTTTAACATGAGTGAAGTTATGCAAGTGCTTAATTGTTCACAGGCTTGTAGCTATAGGCCAAGATTGTAAAATTAGGTCCCCAAATTAGTAATCTATCTGGCATTGTTATGAACTTTGGAGAGATGTGAAAACTAGAAAGGCACTAAAGCACAGACACTATTGTGTTTAGGATTCATATTATAACAGTGCTTACAGAATAGCGTGGAAATGCAGTAAAAGCTCCTGATTTCATCCTTGTGTTTTGCCAGCTACTGTTCAGCGAAGCTCGACTTGTGCATATAAGTACATAAATAATACACGAGGTATCAGAACAGGGTGTTCCAAACCATCCAGCATGATTCCTGAGTTTTGTAAGAACAAGAAAATTTCTTGCTGAGTCTCAGGGGATCTGGCCTTAAACCAGGCTCCTCCTTGAGTCATGTGTAGGGGAGTTTTTAAAAAAAATGTTTTTAAATATGACATGGCACTGGCTGCACTGACCAGCCATCTCTGTACAAAAAATATGTTTAAAGGGAATTGTAATAAACAGACTCATTAGTTTTTAAGAGAGGTGTCAAACTCACCTCCTTCTCCAGGCCGGATCCAGCCCAGGGCATGGGGTAGTTTCAGTGGTGGCAGCTCCAGTTTCCCACCTGGGGGACAGAGCAGGGATGACTCCAACTCCTGTCATGTGTTGTGTGTCCTATGCAAGATCTGGAGCTGCTGCTGACACCTCTTTCACGCCAGGGTGGTTCTAGCTCCAGCACAGAGCACAGGGCAGTGACAGCTCTGGTTATGGCACGCAGAGGCAGTGAAAGCAACTGGACTGGAAGTAAAGAGCTGGGGCTGCTGCAGTGGTGACAGGTGAACTGGCTGAAGGGCGACTGGAGCTGTCAGCTCTTGCTTGCTTTCCTGACACCAATCACCATGTCCATCAGGGCCCAAGGGCACTGAATTTTGTGGCAGGCCACACCCTCCCCCACACGCCCACCCCAACTCCTGGTGACTTGCCACAGTAGCCCTGCAGGCCCGATAGTGCGACTATGTGGGGTGAATCTGGCCCCCAGGCCATATGTTTGATACCCCTGGTTTATAATAACGTCTCAGATGAAGTTATTCCAGATTGTGGAATAAGCTCCCTCCAGAGGTGGTGCAATCACCAACCCTGGAAATCTTCAAGAGGAGACTGGACAGTCATTTTACTGGGGTCACTTAATCCCCAGTTATCTTTCTGCTTGGTGCAGGGGGCTGCATCTGATGATCTTCAGAGGTCCCTTTTGGCCTTACAGCCTATGAATCTATGAATTCTCACATTCGGTTTCTCACTTGAAAGGAGCAGAATGGGACCAAGTCCTTCTCTGGAGTGAATCAGCATAACCCCATTTGAAGTGTAGACTAATATAAATTTAGGTTGGGACTGTCTGAAACCTTACTTTAATCCCCTGGATTTTGTGCATATGGGGCTAGAGTGAAAAAAAAAATGTCAATAAACATATGGCAGGAATTGGGGTCAGGATTAGTACTAAATAGGGTTCAAAGAGCTGAGGCAGAGGATTTATCATTGAAAGCAGAAAATGGACAGTGGGCAAATTACAGTCAAATTCATAGTGACAATATAGATATTCAGGGAACTTCTGGAGGGACGGGACGTATTTAAATCAGTTGGTCCTGACGATCTCCACCCCAAAGTGCTGAGGGAATTAGCAGAGGTCATTGTGGAACCCCTGGCATGGCTTTACGAGCACTCGTGGTACTCTGGTGTGTTGCCAGAGGACTGAAAAAGGGCCAATGTGGTTCCCATTTTCAAAAAAGGGAGGAAGGAGGACCCAGGAAACTATAGGCCAGTTAGTCTTACCTCGATCCTGGGTAAGCTTTTTGAGAGAATTATCCTGGCACATGTCCGCAAGGGGCCAGCAGGGGAGAGTATGCTTAGGGGCAACCAACACGGGTTCATTAGAGTCAGGTCGTGTCAGACCAACCTGGTGGCCTTCTATGACCAGGTTACAAAATACTTAGACGCAGGTGTAGCAGTGGACGTAGTCTTTCTGGACTTTAGGAAGGCCTTCAACACTGTCTCTCACCCTAATCTCATTAAAAAACTAAGGGACTGTGGCGTCAACACCTACACAGTCAAATGGGTCGCTAACTGGCTGGAGGGCCGCACCCAGAGAGTGGTGGTGGACGGGTCTTATTCGACCTGGAGGGATGTGGGCAGTGGGGTTCCTCAGGGCTCAGTCCTCGGACCCGCACTGTTCAACATCTTCATCAGTGACTTGGACGAGGGGGTAAAAAGCACCCTGTTCAAATTCGCAGGTGACACTAAGTTGTGGGGGGAAGTGGGCACGCTAGAAGGGAGGAATAGGCTGCAATCAGACCTAGACAGGTTACAGGGGTGGGCAGATGAGAACAGGATGGGTTTCAGTACTGACAAGTGCAAGGTACTGCATCTGGGGAGGAGGAACCAGCAGCAGAACCTTGTCATGCATCCACAGATGTATCTCAAGCAGGTCCAAGGAGGTGATCCTCCCACTCTATGCGGCACTGGTCAGGCTGCAGTTGGAGTACTGAATCCAGTTCTATCCCTCCTGAAGTGCAGCGTCCTAACTAGAAGCATGTTATGTTTGGAGGTTGGAAGCTGAAACAGCTTAAAAGCGCTGCACTTCAGGAGGGATGTGGACAACATGGAGAGGGTCCAGAGGAGGGCCACTCGCATGATCAGGGGTCAGCAGGGCAGGCCCTACAAGGAGAGGCTAAGGGACGTGAACCTGTTCAGCCTCCACAAGAGAAGGCTGAGGGGGGGATCTAGTGGCCTGTTACAAACTAGTCAGAGGGGACCAGCAGGCATTGGGGGAATCCCTGTTCCCGAGCACTCCCAGGAGTGACTAGAAATAACGGCCACAAGCTGGCAGAGGGTAGATTCAGACTAGGCATCAGGAGAGGCGCTACTTCACTGTCAAGGCGGCTAGGATCTGGAACAAACTTCCAAGAGAAGTGGTGCTGGCTCCTACCCTGGGGGTTTTTAAGAGGAGGCTAGATGAACACCTTGCTGGGGTCATTTGACCCCAGTTCTCTTTCCTGCAATGGCAGGGGGTCGGGCTTGATGATCTGCTCAGGTCCCTTCCAACCCTACCAACTATGAAACTATGATATAGGACCAGTTCCTCCATGCTGGTCTTGACTAGTGATGATTTCACATCTTTATTTGCCTGTTAATTTAAACTATGCAAATACGATGATCAGTGCAACTGCTCTTGCATGGTGAATTTGAATATTCTTTAATAAGTTAGGAACCAAAAAATCTATTTAGGGCAGCTATAACAGAGCAAACAACAGTCCCTGCCCCATGATTTATTTAAAGACTCCTGCTTGTTGTATGTAACATGTTTTAAAACTTTTCCGAGGGAGAGAGTAAGAGCAAGATTTCAGTGATGATGGAACTGGTGTTTCTGAAACACTCCCCATTAAATGATTCATTTTTCATGTTTCTCTCTTACAGCATCAAGCTCTTGGCTGTGCAGGAGCTGACTGATAGAGATGCACTGGAAAAGGTATTTTTAAAAATCTTTTATGAAATGACAGTAATATGTATTCAAGCTCCCTAATTTTTTAATATCAACAGCTCTTCCTAACATTTTATGAAATCATATAGCATCAAATGTAAACAAGTAGCCCTTCTTTTCAGCTCCATAATACAGTCTGTCAGAGAAACAGCATTTGTTGCAACCTGACTATATTCTCTTGGGATGTCCCTACTTTAAAGCACAGATTGAAAACAAGTATCTGTCTGATTCAGTATTTCCAAAGCTGTTCTTGTTAGTGGCTAGGGGAAGTATATGGTTTATGAAATGACAATGAGGAATATCCTAAGACAACGTTTCCCAACTTTTTCCAGCCCAAGGTACACTTAGATTAATAAAAAATTTCTGCGACACACCTGTTAAGGCATTCCCCATCCTCATACCTATTGTAGCTCATTGCCATGGCAAAATTCTGTTAATTTCTGATGGCACACTTTTGTGCCATGGCACACTGGTTGGGAAACACTGTCCTAAGAGGACATGAAGGCTCTATTTCTGTCCATTGTCCCTTAGGAGAGGGCACAGAAGACAACCTGAGCCATGTGGGGCAAAGATAGTTTAATGCACTGATAGCAGTAGTAGAGGGGCCACTGATGCACCCCCAGAATACAGGGCATCCCTTTAGGTATGTGTGGGGGGGGGGGTAGGCTGCACCGGCCGGCTCAGCCCAACCCAGGGCAAGGGGGGAGGGCCGCGGCGGCCTGGCCCTTCAGAGTTCTTATCGCGCTATGTGACTTTAAGTATTGCTACAGGGGGGAGGGAGGGGGTGCAAATGCAAGCAATGGACCCGAGGCACCAGAGACCCATGGTACATCACTGATAACCTGTCTACACTAGTGGTCCTACAATAAAGCTGTACTAATTGCACCAGAGAGAAGCTTTTGCCATAAATTGCCTAGTTGTACAAGGCCATGCATCTACAAATAGCCCATTTGGAATCTTAGTAAGTAGATTTTGGGGGTCATACACCCAGAAGTCAGAGTTTTCCTGCACATCACAATGGTTGTACATTTTTACTATCTCCTTCAGTAGGCCTTCCAAACACAAAAGCACGTTAAAGAAACTTTTTTTCCCACAGAGGAATCAATCATCCATCCTGTTTGTGGCCACCTTTATTTACAGCTAGCCAATCAATCCCTTCATTTCATCTACTCAGTATTCTAGAAATAATGGGAGACTTAGCACACGCTTTTGCGAAGAAATAGTTTTATCACCCAGGATGAAATTCACTCCAGCATAGAGGGTCTGCACAAGTGATATCTATGCTTGGGTTTCATTTGGGATTGATTTCACTAAAGGTGTTTATCCACGAGGTGCTTAAATTAATGAGAGGCTTTTTTTTGTTCTAAGTGAGCATTAGACTACTCTTGAGCAGGACTCTTGAGCAGGACTTCAGCTATGGGCATCATCAGAAAATATTAAGTTGATCTCTCTCATTTCTTTTTAAGTGAGAAAATCTGTCCAGACATTTAGTCTGGCTAAACAAAATAATATTATCAAGCAAGTTTATTGTACAGTGGTTTATGGTGGTAGATCATGCCTCTTGCATGTAATTTTGCCAACCGGTAAACCAAAGTTTCCCATCTCTTTAGCAGATATCAGTGTACCTTTTGGCAAAATGCCTTCCAAAACAAGACCCACCAAGAAAGAGTGACCTCAGTGCAGTGTGCCTTGCCAGCCAAGCTATTGTTTGTAACTTTGCAGGAAGCTCTCCATAAAGGCTTAACATCAGAAAAACGATCTTTCTAAATTAAGCTCTATGAATATTTTATCTCTGCTTTCATACCATGCCAGACTTACAGAATTTAAAAGGCCAGTTTATCCCCCTGAAAAGTAACAATGTGTGTTATATAAGTACAAATAAATTTGCCTCCCCCCTCCCCTTTAAGTATTAAAAAAAAAAACAGTAATCTTTTACAGCATTCTGTGCACTGTCTGTTTGCAGAATCTGTTCATCTTTGGAATAGGTACCTTGCCTAGTCTTTGTAAGTAACAATTTATGCCTATTGTGCTGGAGAAATAAAATGATTCTTAATAATAATGTCTTCTAATAATCAGAGAACTGGAGAGTTCTTGGCTTTTTTCTCTTTTTTAAAAGCTATCTACATTTTTCATAATGCACAAGTACTTTTTTTTGGACCCTGTCACATTTTCTTACAAAATATTTATTAAGATTTCCTTGAACATTGGTATGCTGTTTTTTCCATTTTTTAATAGATACTCGTGTACTGATTTGTTTTATTATCATAAAGCCCTTAGGTAAACATCTGTGGGGGAAACTGTCTACTACCTTCATCCTCCCTCCCTCTGTTCCTTGGATCATGCAACAGCTTATATCTGTGCTTAATTTTCAAGACTGAGATTGATAGCAAAACCCCATTGAGGGATAGAGAATTAAACAGGGTCAAGGCCTAGATGTGTGAAAATCATCAATGAGGCGACAAGTTTTTTGTGATTTATTTATTTTTTTAAGTGCTATGGAGTTGTACGAGATATTATTGAACGTAAGGAACTGACAACATTGGCTATGCTCAGAGCAGTCAGTCATGGCTGTTAAAAATGTTGGGGCGAAGGAGTACATGGTATTGTCGATGATGGTGTTAAAACTGGAACAACTTGTGATAGGTTTTGACAACCCCTCTTGAAAGGACACTGTCAAAATAACAAGGGATCTATTTGTATTATTTACCCCCAATATTGATTATTATGAACAATAAAGTTTGTCTTTTATTTAGTCTCCTGTGTGACTAGTTATGTGTTTCCCTTTTGTGTTTTTCCTAGTTAGAACAATGAAAAGAGATTGATCACTTTTATTTTCAGGTCTTCATGTACCTGGGGTTTATATATGTGGAAATTTATAGTGCATGTAAAACAACACTGCAAAAGGTCTACGGGTTTCTGCTCTCAGGTTTTGTAAAAAGTTTAAATATATAAAAACTAATTTTTTATCCTAAGTTGAACTGAGAGATTCCCTTTAAATCCAGCTTGCTCCACAGCATCTGCTCTCGTTGCAGGGATCGCTTGGGGACTCTGCCAGGAGGGAATGTTGCATGGGTTTCGTGAGAACAAATTGCGTTTGATGTGATCTCACAATGAGCAAAAATTACTTTATTTATCTTCCATAGGACTATTTGCACATGTAGGTGTCACTGAATGCAAGTGAGAATTGTCAAATTGGACCTGAGGAGGACTACAATCCTTTGCCCATTCCCATTGAAAGCAATACAATATTCTTGATGTCAGTAGATTAGGATTGATTCATATGAGCAGCATGGGCCTTTAAGAGTTTTTTTTTTTTTTCTGTCTGGGTTTGAAATGAACTGGAAATTCATAACAAGCTCATTTGTTTTAATTTTGGCCCCTATCCATTCAACACTTTAAGCACATGCTTCACTTTGAGCAGGTGAGTGCTTAATTGATATCAGTGATGTTAAGCATGTGTTTAAAAGCTTTGCTAGATCATTAGGTAGTTTGGGCTCCAAAAAGTATTTTATCTCAGTCCTGAACTTCCAGATTAATATTTTTATTTCTCCTTTGCTCAGTGTACTTCATCTGTCCCATGACTGGGCTGCTTCCGTGAATGTTCAAGTTGTAGAATTCTTGTTCCACTGTTTAAGTGCTGCTCTCAATCATGTTGGCTCTGACATATATGGATTATGTGATGCCAATGTGTGGTTTCAAGGTTTTGCCAGTTTGTGTTTATGAAGCTTGCATTTCTCATGAGTGTTGAGATTACTTAGAGAGGAATTTTGGAATAAAGTAACTCTGGAGGAGATTGGGTAGCTGACAGTGCGGGTGAGACAGTCAGAGGTTTACAACACCTCTGTAAAATGCAACGTGGATATCACTGTCCTGAAGGATGTTTTGTAAGCGCTCTCTATGTAATTTACATTTTAATAGTATGAAAATCATTTTGTACAGTCCCTAATTGAAAATGAGAAAGTCCAGTGTTTTTTGCCAAATTCTTTTTATATATGTTTAGTGGAAAAAAAATTGCTCCCCAAGGGAAATGCTCTCCTTTTGGTTTAAAAAGAACTCTGTTTAGGTAACTGACAAATTGAACTGCATAGCCAACAAGTGACATTCCATCTCAGTTCCTGTTTTCATAACGAAGCTGCTGTATACATTGTCATACACAATAGGAATGGCAAAATAGTTGTATTCATTGAAGCCAAGAGGACATGCAGGAAAAATATCCCCTGGGAATTCCTCTGCCTCTGTTTTACAAAACAGACTTAACACATTCTCTTTAATGAAAGGAATATATTACCTATCCAAGAGCAAGCATGCTGATGGTAAAATCTCTGGTTAAAAAAAAAATCTTTATTTGGTGCAAATTAGCTCAGTTTAATTGATTTCAGTAGAGCTAGCTCAGTTTATACTGGCTGAGTCTCTGGGCTTCAGTAGGTTATAAATTGACAGTATGCTTCACTGTTACAAATGCTGCAGACCTCCATTTGCCCAGCATGGCATGTTTTGCCAGTCACTCTAAATGCCATCCAATTTATGTTGTTGATGAGAATATGCATTTTCTCTAGTAGATATTTTAATGCATCATATGGTAGTGCCAAGGGTGAGCAAAAGCCCATGCATAGTTTGGTCTAATATGAGTAGCGGGGTGTACACAACTCGAGGAGGTGGCCAGCCAATTTTGTGGGCTGATTGCAGTGAGGACTTTTCCTTCCTCTGATTGGCTGAGGAGACCTGGCAGCCTCACACCTTCCCACTGATTGGTTGTGAGGGCTGTGCATCATGGGACCTTGCCTCTTGCCACCTATTGGCAGAGAGGGATGGGGCCACATGATAGGGGCGATAGCCAGTCAGTGGTGAGGGGCAGCAGCTATCTTGGCTTCCCCATCATGCTGGCTTGCCCCCCTTGCCTCCCGGATGAGCTGTGTGGCTGGGCCTCAGTTCCATGAGGACTGCTGGCTTCCTCTGGGGAGCCAGCATTTTATTTTAAGTAAGGGTTT